CGGGGTTCACTTCCTACAGGGGCTTCTCCGGTGGCTGGTAAAGGGTTAGGCTCCGGTGGCAGCCTTTCCCGGGGACCGTGGGAGTGCCGATGGCAGCTTCCTCGCCTCCCTCTTTTCGTGGAGGGAGCAAATACCGGCGATGCCTGCGCCTTCGGGAAACGTGGCGAGATTGGGCAACGGGTTCAAGTGCTGCTGGGGGAAGGGACTCTCCCACGCACACACACGCCGAGCAGGAGGGTGGGAATGAGCATCGTTTCCATAGGGAAACAGGCTAAATACGCCCGCATCCCTGTGCCTCCCGGGAGGCTGGGGCCTCACCCAGCCTGAGCCCTCTGCACCGGTGCTTTGCCCGATTTAATATTCCCCGTCGGTGTAAAAGCTTTCATCCTCCCTCCGCTTTCATCCTCCCTCCGCACCGGCTTCCAGGCTGCACTCTGACCGGAGGAGAAAGGTCTGCGGGCCTTGGGTTGCTCAGAGGAGGAAGAGGAGGAGGAGGAGGAGGAAGCAGCCATGGTGTTTGCCCTGCCCAGGTACAGGCAGGGTCAGCCCATGGTCTGCCAGGCCTGGCTTTGGCCGTGTGTTATTAACCTCGGCTCAGAGAGGCTTTTCCTTTCTCTGCCCTGGTTCTTCTCATCAGCCAGTGAAGAAGTGGGGACACCTCGCATCCAGGGCAGGAGCCTGGAAATGGCACCTGGGTGCCCAAAATCCAGCACAGGGCTCCCCCCCACCTCCCCATCCTCATGAATAGGAACCAAAATTCCTGTCCCAGCAGCAGAGACCAACAAACCCAATGCTCGAAGGAGAAGCTGGCCTGGGAGCGTGCGGTGGGAGGAGAAGACAGCAAACTCCCACTCTGGCCTCCTGGTCCGAGGAGGATGTTTTATCCCCAGGGCGAGGTGTCTTGAAGGGAGAAGGTGCCTGCAGGTTTTTGCGTGCTGGGGAGGGGAGCAGGATTGTATGCCCCCTGGGGGGATGCTCTCCCCCCTCTGCCTGCCCCTAGAGAGCGTGAGGAGGAGTGTGATGGTCCCCTGTACGGCTCTTCTTTGTATGAGGTCGGTGCACTGTATCCATCACCGCATCTGGAGGAATACAGAGAGCAGCAGGACCTAGGTTGTCTCCCACGCTAACCTTGCCTTGCTGGAGAGGGGTTTCTTGGGGTGCAACGGGGGCAGGTGGAGGGTCAAGCTGGCCTGAAGTAGCGGCAAATCGATGACCAACTCTTTCCAGCAAACAATATGGGAAGCAGGGAGTGTTTTCCCACCCTCTGCTCTCGGAGTGGCTCCCTTGACATCTCTGACAGCCACAGTTGCACAAGGCAGAGAAAAATAGGGACACCCCCCCCCCATCAGGGGTTCCCAGCCTTCCTCCTCCTGTGTCTTCTCCCTGCCAAGGCCAGATGCTTTAGCAGCGCGTGCAGAAAAGTACATTGTAGGCAGTTTTTGAAATAACTTGCCTAGAAAGGAAGTTTCTGCACTTCCAAGCTGGCTCCTGCCCCAATCCAGGCACATCGCTGCTGTTTTTTATTTAAATCCAGTTTGAGGAGCGTGGAGAGGGGATGGGGGGTTGGTGTCAGGTCTCTACAAATCTTTGCCCCTTTTTTTTTTTGTGTCCTCTGGACTGAGAGGCATCACGTGCTGAAACCCTGGCTGGAGTTTTCCCAGGCTCCTTCCCCAGATGCTTTTGTTGCTGTGCTTGCTGTGGGACTGGAGACAGCGGTCTTGAGAGACCGACAGGTCACTCGTGGGTGGGTGGGTGACTCTGAGGGTACCGGATGCTGGGGGCTGGGCGCTGTGCTTAGCAATGATCCCGGGGGACCACATGGATTTCTGTCACAGCTTGCTGGTGCTGGGGACAGGGTGTGTTTGTGAATGAGTTCATGGGCATCTGCAGCTCTCAGGCTGCCTGTACCTGTCCCACAATGGGTTTCTCTTCCACTCCCCCCGCTGCTGCCTTATTCCCTTTCCTGGCAAAATATTTGCGTCCTACGCAGGGGAAATCCAGTGGCTTTCGGCGGCCAGTATCACACAGACAGGAATGTCTTGGCACGCAGGGCTTTCCGTTAGGAAAACAGATGTTTCTGCAGCAACTGAAGTTTTGCAAAGAGTTTCCCTGGGCTCGGAGGGGCAGGAGTCGGCGAGGCGAGTGATGTGATCAGCAATGCCTGTCCCCGCCACCATCCTGCCCTGTTTTGGGAGTGATTTGGGTCTCAGGCTCCAAATCCTGCTGTGTCACGTTGTCACCAGGCTTGGACCAGACCCTTGAAGTGGGGAAGTAAATGCGTGAAGGGACCTGGCCAAAACAGCCTGGGGAGGTGCTGATGGTCCAGCCAGATCCTTGCCCTAAGCAATGCCCCTGCCCGGTCCTCTTGCCCTGACAGCAGCTTCCCAGGGCTTGGGGGATGCTCTGGGCTCAGATCTGCACCCAGTGCCTCCAGTTCCTTGTTTACCCCTGGCCCCACAGGAGACAGTGACATAAGTGCCCTGGATTTATTTCCCCGAGCGAGTTGATGGCCAGTGGGTGCTGTAAGTCATTGGTCCCTGATGGTTGTGTCCCCAGGTTTTAGACAAGTTCCCCTGGGATGGTTTCCTGCAGGGTCTTCCCCTATGCTGTGCCGTTCATCAAGCAGCTCAGGAGACCCACGGCCACTGCGGTGACGCCTCTGCCAGGGTGGGCTGGGACTCGGGGCCCTTGGCCACTGGGGTCACCTTGGTTCCCTCAAAACCCTTTCACTCTCTGTTTCCCTGGCAGGCCTACCTGCGAGCAGTTGATGTGA